GAAGAGAAGTCTCTGGGGTTTGATTTTCTACTTTGGCTCATTTGTACACAGAAACTGTTTTAATCTAAGATAATTTGTAGCAGAAATTAGCTGGTAATTGAGAATCATAAATTGTGAGCTAAGCAGTGGGTGTTCGCTCCCCCATCTGAAAAACTTTTCATCTTCTGTTACCAGCTGGGTGCAAAACAGAGTAGAACTGGGTTTATTCTGGGAAAGCCAGGGTTATGTTATGGTTAAGAGGCTGGACTTGGCCAGGGAGACCCAGGTTCCTGTCCCCCAGTTGACCACAGAACTCAGTACGTAACTTTGAACGGGTCACACTCAGCCCAACCTGTCTAAGAGAGCGATATCATTGCAGCGATATCATTAGGAGAGATTCCTTGTACCAGTATTTTTCAATGTTGGCAGCTTGAAGATGTGTGGACTTCAACTCCCAGAATTCCCCAGCCAGCCATGCTGGCTGGGGAATTCTGGGAGTTGAAGTCCACACATCTTCAAGCTGCCAACATTGAAAAACACTGCCTTATACATTCAGCATTCAGCTGAACTCCCCCAAAAAATCCAACAGTGAATTAAATCAGTAAAACAAACAGGACCAAAGCAATCAAGGAGACACCTTTCCTTGACTAGATGTTCAGTGAAAACCTTCCGGCCCTCATTCCTCTCGTGTAGGTCCAGAACAGCATTTTGCACCTCCAAAATGATGCGTTGAGCCGGGATCCCAACTGATTCAAATCTTGGCTCAGCCCAAGTTCATCTGGTGGCCTCCGAGAAGCCTCACCCGAGACGAACAAGAAAACAGAAAATGCAGACTTTGCCTGCAGAACATCTCCAAGCAAAAAAAATCATCTCCAAGCAAAAAAATCCCATCTGCTCCCTGGAATGCTGCTGTATGTGTGGCCCCCAAGTATGGGAGGCAGCGACAGAGGCTTCCAAAAGCCGGAGAGAAGTTGCAAAGCTTATGGACTGTACAAGAAACACCCTTGAATCCCTTATATTTTTTGCTATCAATATTACTGTGTTGGATTAATACGCGCTATGTCATATTAATTATAATTTCTTCATATTTTTGTTCCAACGTTCACCCCAGACCGGTGAACTACCCTACATTAAAAATAATGTCCAATTTATCCTATTTTATTTGATACAGTCGTTTGACTAATCAATAAACAATAAACTGAATTAAACTAAATTATACTGTAGGACATTAAAAAGAATGTACAATTTTTCAAAAATTACAGTAAAAACAAGCCTTCTAAAAATACCATAAGCTTAAGGCTATGAACTGTCTTCAGACTCAAGGATGCGACGATAGAGTTACGAAAAACCAAGTTGTGTGGACTTAGTCACAGGTCTGGATGTGCAGACAGAGTTTAATCTGCAATCCATAGGCAAATGGGGAGGGAATTCCACCACCCGGGTACTTGTAGGGTTAGGGTCTGGCAAAAGTAGCCTTTTCAAGAAGGAATCCCCACTAGATCTAATCTAATCGGGCCCTTGCGTAGGGGACAAAACTCCTGCTAATTTACTAGGTCCTAAGAGGCGTAGTAGTTTGACTCTGGTGAGCTTGGAAGGCTTAGTAGTGCTAAAGAGCAGACTGACTTACTGAAGTGCACGGGGTCAGTACAGAGCTGGACTTCATACAATATAATTAAGACTAGCTCATCTGGGATGTTTTTATCAAACCGTCTGCAGTCAAGGTTCAAGATTATTTTCTTCAAGGTCCTGACCTTCCTGGCATGAAGAAAACCAGCCTGTGCCAGCACTGTGCCACCGTCAAACTGTCTCTTGATCTCAAGCAGTTCTTTGTCGGTGAGAAAGAAGGTCTGTGCGCTCAGTGGGCTGACTGAGACAAACTCGCTTTGCTTGCTGAGGTCCAAAAGGGTCTGCAGAATTTCTCCTGAAATGGGTAGGAACGCTCAGATTCTTGCTCTGAGCCCCCAATTTCTCGGGGTCACAAGGGAAGATTTGTACCTCCATATGTCAGCTACCAGCAAAAAACACCAAAGCAGAAGGTATTTAGAGTACTCTTCATTAACATAAAAAACCCAATCAGCTTGATTATTATTTTATGATCCCATTTGCTGCTCTTGACCTCGCCCTAACTCAATCTTTTTGGCTTGATTTATTACCATCTAAGTATCACAGTCATCTTGGCCTCGGCAGCCAATCAATTCTAGTATTTAATTTTTGTTTTTCCTTGATTGGATCCCCGGGTTGCTGACTTCTTTCACACAAAATCAATATTGCATTCTTGGGCTCAAAGTGTACTGTGCCCTGGAACTGCAAACAATACAAAATTGCAGGTTTCATTTCCACCCACAGTTGTTCTTGAAGCCTCTGTATTATGTGATTAAGAGAAGAAGGACAGATGGATGGATGGATGGATGGATGGATGGATGGAAGGAAGGAAGGAAGGAAGGAAGGAAG